CAAGAAGTCCTTTAGATGAAGGTCAAAATGATAAGGATATTATATATATACGTCTCCATTATAGACTCAATATCAAAAGAATTTAGCACATGTTCAGAATTTAGTTCGACAGATTTTCGACTACAACAAGAACAAGATGAAGTTTTTAAGATGGTGAAATCATATGTTGTCAGTGAAACCTTCTAAAGAAGATTTTCCTGAAAAATGTCTTATTTATTACAAATTTAAACAATATTTTGCTGTAGTTGACGAAATTTTGACATAGGTTTCAAGATCGAATTGTTATACCCAAAAATTTAAGCAAAAAATGTCTAAAAGATTTGCACTCTGGTCATTTTGGGTTAAGAAGATGTAAGGCGCGATCGAAGGAAACAATTTGGTGGCTTTCAATAAATAATCATATCGAAGAAAAAGTTAATAACTGTGAAAAATGCCTTAAACATAAAAAGCCAGGAGTTGAACCGATGACCTATTTAAAAGTATCTGTTTTACCTTGGAACATAGTCGCAGCAGATTTATAAGAATACCAAGGAAACTAGTACCTACTTGGTTATACAGGATTATTATAGTCGATGTCCAGAAATATTTTTATTGAAGAACTTAAAATCAGAAACGGTTATTAAATGTTTGAAAGAGACCTTTGGAACGCCAAAAATACTTAGATCAGATAATGGAAGACAATTTGATAGTTACGAATTTAAAAATTTTGCAAAAGAATATAACTTTATATGGAAAAGTAGCAGTCCCAAATATCCACAGTCAAATGGACAAGCGGAAAATGCAGTGAAATTGATTAAAAAGATTTTCAAGAAAAGTGATGATCCTTACGTTGGTTTACTTGCGTATAGAAATACTAAATTAGATTGTGGTGCGTCACCTGCTCAATTGATGATGGGACGAAATCTAAGGGAGAAGGTGCCTGTATTAGATAAAAAATTAATACCAACATTGCCGAATCATAAAGCGATTAGAAGAAATATGATAACTGAAAACCAACAACAGAAGAAAAATTATGATAAACGACATAGAGCAAATAAGGAGTTAGATGAATTAAATGAAGGCACAAGAGTTTTTATAACAACAGAAAACAAAGAAGGAGAAATTGTTAATAAACGAGAAGATGAAACAAGATCTTACATGGTGGAAACTGATACTGAGATATTAAGAAGAAATAGAAAACATCTACAACCACTACCAGAAAATAATGAGATCATGGAACCGGTCACGACAGATTATCAAACACTTAATAGGCCTGATTCAAAGATCAAAATAAAAGAGATAAACACAAAAACCACAGCAAACAAGATGAAAGATATTATACAAGAGACAAAAATAGAGAGAGACGTTTCCCACTAAATTGAAAGATTATTTAATGTAATATGTATTTGATTTTTTTTGCATGTTATTAGTAATTTTTATTTCTGATGCGTTTAAGAAAGGAAGATGTAAGGTGATCTTACCTTTAATGATAAAAAGGTAATGAACAGCTGATTGTATTGTCAAGGTATTATCAATTTTGAATAAAATAGAACAGTCGCATAAAAAGTATTCATTTAATTATTATAATACAAGACATCTTAGAACTAGAGCCTGGAGGTAGAGCTTGATTGGATGCTTTACCTCCGCCTCATTTCGGATGATACATTTTCTCGTTTTTGTCGCACAAGTATTCCTGCTTCAGTAGAACAATAAATAATCAACATTGGAACGAATCTGTCTGTAGACCTCTCGGAGCACGAGCTGATGGCTCATCACCTTGTGATTATTGTAAGCCTTTTGCATGGAATGCCTGTTCTATTGCTACGCTGGCGAATCCATGCCTAAAACTGACCAGAAAGAAATCCGAAAAATCTGCAAGGGACTTCAGTATTAACAGAATTTTTGCCTGTTGGCTCGAATAATTTGGTTTTGGGGGGATGAAACGAAATATTTTTGTAATGGTGCTGAAAAGGTTGGAGTAAGAAATTAAGCCGCATTAAGACACAAACATTGAGAGACAATGGAGTTGTTCTGGTTTTCCTTATTCCCAGAAAACTTATCAGTTGTTTCCAAATTTCGGTCCTCTAATCGCTATAAAGTTCCATTGGTATACCGTATGTGGCAATGATGTTGGCCTGCGATATCAACTACAAGGGAAACCAGACAAGTATTGCTTGTTTTTTTTTCGAGATCGCGTGCTGGTTCCTTTCTTGGGAGCACAATGCTCGCAATGCTCGCATTTCTTGCACGATTCTCCGACATCTCTATGACTGTCGATCGAGTAATATACCGGTATCTTACTCGAGCCAACATAATATGACTCTAAAGTGGTCACAACTCCGACTGTTCTTGCAGTACACCTAGGCCTCTGTCCACCATGGCCGGTGGCACAACGGGATGAAGTACAACACTTTTTCCATCTGGATTCTCACACTAACGACTAAATTAGTTCATCTCGCAGTCACAACGAATCCCATTAAAGCTAGTACCTACCCCTTAATTTTGTTGTCCGTTTTTAGCCGTCCATAACCAGAGGTTCAAACAGCTTTTTTTTTCCTCTGGCCTTTGGCAAAAGTTAGCAGGGCTGTCGGTCTTTTTGACAATCGAAGTTTTTGAAATTAAGCAGCTACTGCAAAGCAGATTGATAGGAACTTCCGTACATGGAGAAAACTATGGTAAAGTTCAATGGATCTTACTACTGCCAGGAGCTCTATTGGGGTGACATTAAGAACTCAGTCTCAAGAATATATTGTTTTTTTTTTCTATATTAGGTCTGGTTAGTTTGGACTTTCCCATTTATTGTCTAGTATAAAAAGCAATGAATGTCATTTGTTTGGAGTTTGGTACTGATTTTAATATGTACCTCTATGAATTGAACCATCATAGCCTATAAAAACTACTTAGATCGGAAGAATGTTTAATTGTTTATTAGAATATTTATTTTTTCGAAATACCAACAATTCTTGAAGCTATAAAATATTTCCGGTCGTTGTCCTCGTAAAAAATCCGCAATGCAGAAATAAAGACAAATTTCAAGCGAGTTTGGCAAGTCCGGAGCCAACGCATTTCTGAGAGTGTTCTATTCGGCCAAGTCTAATAATTTACGCAGCCTGTCCTAAATTACAGTATTTTTAGAAAACCATTCCCTTTGCTGAAATCTCTTGAGAGGTTGCCAAAAGGAATTCGCGTCCAAACCATTATGTATTTATACGACTCGACTAGTGATTGCAAAGTTAATCCTTAATTTTTTTCATTGTTATTTATTTTGTCTGGTCACAAACTGATTTCCTTTTTGAGTTCTATATGAATATATTCTAGAAGGAAGTTGTGCCAAACTTTGGCAAAAGCGAGGTAAGACTAAGCTTGAACCATTAAATAATTAAATTCGAAAAAAAAACAAAGTCTTCCTCCACAAAATACTTTAATTAGGTTAAAGCGCTCTACATGTTTTAAGGCTGGTGAACCTTATGCATCATCAGGGGCAAATTTGCTCATATAACATAAAGTAGTTTAGGTCGCCAGGCATTTGGTAGAGGAAAAGAAAAAGGCATTAAAAAAAATTATGTAGAATTGCTCCATTCAATATTCCTTACGTGTCCTGTGTTTGAATGTGATTACAACTTTTGATGTTTTTTTTTAACCTTTTTAATGTTTTGACTTTACAAACTTTTTCACTGTGTGTTTCTTTTCCGCTACGTAAACTACTTTGTGTTACATGAGCAAACTTGCAAACTTGCCCCTGATGATGAAGTTCAATAGGCTCGAAACATGTACGGGCGCATTAACCTAATTAAAGTATTTTGTGGAGGAAGAATTTGTGTTTTCTTTTTGAATTACATTTCAACTCTACCTTGAGAGATGGACTACTTCTTCAATATTAAATAATTATTAAATAAGCTTGACTATTTAGCAATCCCAAGTTTATTTTGCAAGATTTTGCCACTTGGTATATTTGCAAAGCCTACCCTGATCCGAGGTTCTTATCATCTTTAAAGGGTACCTACCTATAATATTTTTCAAGATAAGAAATTTATATTTCGCTTTTCATAACTTCTGTAGCCTTTAGCTACAGGCTAAAGGCTAAAGCAGGTATAGCAGTAATAGTAGTAGTAGTAATAGTAGTAATAGCAATTCCAGCTGCGATACCATCTGGGGCTGATTATGGTTCATTCTCCTTCGTACATCTATCCAATAAATGCAAAAACGGTTCTGCCAGCAAAACTTAACACTTTTACAAAAGCAGATTATTTTTTTTATACCTATGTAAGGTATTCTCAAAATCCTTAATTCGGATCGATGATATCTCCACCTCAATGTCGCCCGCTTTAAAAATATTTTATTGTTTACAACCAAATTTCCAGCGACGTTCGCGATAAGGTACAAACCCGAGGAAACTGGATGCGAGATACGCAACGCACTGTTGTGCAAGGCAAGCGATCTTTCACGGAAAGTTCTTGACGGATCACTTACTGAAGTTGCAAGTTCAGTATGTATAAAGTGTTGTGCTGAAGCAGGTTCCTTTGAACGGAGTTCACAAATAAGTTCGCAAGGCCAGCCGACTGAAAGGAGAACATTCAGTCAACTATCAACATGACCTAAAAGTTTCTATAGCTAATTAGGCGTAGACGAGATTTCCAAACTTTTGATATTTAGTAAATAGGGAAGAAAATACCATTGCTGAAAAACATTGCAGATATTTTTTTTTCCGTATAACGCTTTCGATCCCATGCTCATGCACTAAAGCGTTATTGTACTTTCCTGGGGCCTTATTCTGTAAGAAACGAACCGTTCGATTCGGTAGAATTTCTTCGATTGTGACGTCATTTTCGGTTTGGTAGAGCGAAAACCAAACCAAAAATGACGTCACAATCGAAGAAATTCTACCGAATCGAACGGTTCATTCTTACAGAATAAGGCGCCTGGCATGCACTCTAGGTAGGTACCTACTCCTTCCCACATGAAGGCAGAGATGTTCTGACCGCATTATGCACTCCCCCAGTGAAATAATTGTCCTTATCGAATAAAGTTATGAACAAAATAATCTCCTTTATTTAACTGTCAAAGGTATTTAAAAACATTTTATCTTACAATATAATTATTACTGACATGATGAATCAGCTGTCATGTCACGACTGCTGGGCTACAAATTTACCTTAGTTTAGCGGCTATTTCCTTCACTTTATTTTGCTATAGAATTTGATTTGATTTGATTTTTAAATGAAGAAACCTCTGTACTTGTTAAACGCAACATTTATTACAAAATACCAAAATCGCTTTCTATTAAAAATAAAAAAAACGTACAATATAGATAAATAAACAGTAAATAGCAGGACTTACCTAATATTATTAAAATAAAACTTACAGTATAAGATAACAACACAACTGAATTATCATACAAATTTGTTAGTAGGTAATTTATAAAAAATATATATAAAAAAATTAATAAGTTTTTCCGTATCACAATAAGGACCAGTTTTGTGATGCGCTAGCTAAAATAAAAGAGGTTGCCAACACAGTGAAAATATATAATTCACCAAAATATGATGATAACAATCAAAATGCAGTGAATAATTTATGATGCTTAAAAACTAACAATAATTGTGTAGGAATAACATTATTTGATTATAGAGCTGCTGAAGACTTACCTACTGGTTTTATATAAATTATTTAGATACCTACTGTGTGTCTGTAATATAAAATCTGGCCGGATTTCAACGTCAAATAAGATCGTATTGAAGTAATAACTTAAATTATTACCCAGAATATTAACAAGGCCATTATTGTATGACTTATAAATAAAACGGTTTGATCCTTTAGTATTTATTAATGTCTCATTTGGTTACATTTCTATCAATATCTTTGTTGCGTGTCATGAAGAGAGATTCAAAGTTTCACAAACATTCAATATCCTCTAATTCGAATATATTTTGTAGTTGCAAAAATAATTATTAGGAATTGCAATATTGAGGTAAGAATACAAAAATTCAGAGAAATAAAATCAAATAACAAAAATATTATTGTGGCTTAAGCATATGTTACTAACAACAACGCAGGAGTTTTTATCTTCTTTGTTTCTTGAATAACAAACATACAAATAATACCTAATATTCGAAGATATCGTATAAAATTTGATACCATACCTACTCAATTAAACGAAAATCGTTTCAAATAATTGTAGGCATGGTTTTAATAGTTTCTTAAGCATACATGTGCCTTCTGTAGTGGTTTCGAATAGAACTTGATAGACAGAGGCCGAATATTGCTCCGATTATCTAAATTTGAAATAAATAAATATATTTAATTTTTTTTAAATTGTAAAAGTGGTTACCTCTGCAGCTGCAACTCCAATAGCTACTCCAGCAATGAGCTGAGATTTGTTTACTACAAATGAATACAATTTGTCAGCACATCCATCATAGAAGACATTGTTGTTGACTGACGGACAAGGTTCATGTGCACAACAGCTTGATGGTTTCGTAGAGTATTCATCTGGACCGTTGACACCACAACATTGAAGCTAAAATTAATTAATTCAAAAATTAGTTGTTTTATACCTACACGGCGTGCGAATGAGAGCTTCTCTCGCAGATTTACGCCCGTATTCATCAAAATCAATTTAGCGATCTGATAGCTTTCAGTCTGTTAACATTTATTGGTCCGATAAAAGCAAGTTCTATTCACCAATAAAAATGGTCCTTCTGACAACAGACAGACTGATGAAAATAAAGATCCATATATTCTGTGAACAGTTTTTCTCCGCGCCTAACTTCATTTCATTTAAAATAACCTCAAAATTTGTCTGGTTTGTTCTGTAAGTATTTATTTATTGATACTTTTCTTGGGCTGTGAAACAAGTAGACAACTTCCTAATCCTATTAATTTGAAACGAAGCGTGCAGCTAATTTTTCTGGTCGCGAAAAAGAAATTCTAATTTCTTCGGTTGGGAAATATTTAAAAGTAATCGGGAATAAGAAAACCAATGCAGTTGGCTGTGAAATATTGAAATGGTGACCAATACAAAGCAAAGTTGAAAAGACCCCGTTGCAATTAAAATCTGATTTCTTTTAGATATTGGTTTATTTCTTTCGTCCAATGGCTCCAAGACTTCGTTCTGCAGGTTTTCCAGCCTTTGAAATCTATTTTTGTTTGGGAGAAAAACCTACCTTTTCTAAATGTTTGAAATAATATATTGTTATCTATGTAACTTGTGAAGGAACTTTTTGGATTTTGAGGTCATTTTGTAGTACTCGTTACGTTCTATACAATGGTACCAATAACTCGTTTTTTGAAAATAGTGCCCTTTTGTGTAGTCTAATTTTGGATTACCTTCGGTTCTAGAATCTCCAAAATATTAGTTTTTAATTCAATAATAATTGAGCTTGTAACACACACAAAAAACATAATTTCGATTGACTGGCACTCTACTACTAGGGCCGAAAGCGCTATTCAATTTAAAAACATTGCGTGGAATACCAAATGTTATTACTTTCTCATTATAGCTTGGGTTTGTCACAACGTTGTTAATAAATAAATGAAGGAAGCCAAGTAAGACAAATTTAACCAGAGATATTTAATTTTCGAATTTTTATGACTTACCCATCTTTGAGTAGCGTCTCTGGTTTCTACTGCGCCTGGGCTAGGGTCTCTAAATGTTTTGTCAACGTCCTTATAAATGGATTGTCGCAATTGTGCCCCATTTTTAATTTGTAAAAAGGCATATACACCGATAGCTACTTGGATGATGAAAATCGTCAGAAGAATGATGGCATACTAAAAGCAATATAGATTATAATGTTAATGGTGTTGTAAAACTATGATAGGTATAACTCACCGTAGTTAACATGCATGGACTTTCTTTTACGGCTCCACAACATCCTAGAAAGGCGGTGATGAATATGATGGTTCCGATTACTATCGATAAAATGGGAGCAAATTTGAAGTTGTCTGGAATTACTCTGGTAGCTTCGGTTATATTTAGCTTGAATAAAATACCGATAATAATAAGCGCCAAACCAATCAGCTGAAACAAAAATAAAGAAAACACGTAAAATTATTAATGTTATTATTCGCTTAATTATTATGACAAGCAACCTGCAAATTATTCATTTTAAAATATGCCGTCTAGTTAGCTTTCTTAACCTGATTCGTACTAAAGTATTTTGACAATTTGCAATTTTTTCTTGGTCAATGCCGGATGCATGCATTCTAAATATATATATTTCTTTTTTAGCATATTAGCTCAAAACCTTGAATCAAATATTGGAATTTATTTATTATTGGCAATAGAGGATAGAATTTTTAAGTTTTCTCTACAAAAACCGTCTCTATTATACAATCAGGATGATCAGTCCCCTATCAGCAAAATTTCCCATTTGTTTCCCGATAGCTAAGGGTAAGAAGATGGTTAAGTGTAAGAATTTCCTTCGGCTAAACTTCGCCATTTCCATTCTGTACATGTATAGATAATTCATTTATGTGTATTTGCACATTTAATAAAGACGATATTTATTTATTTTCTATTTATTTTTTGAAATGATTGAGCCGATACTTGGTGAAAATTCAAATCTATCGGTTGCAGTTTTACTTTCTCTCAACTTATAGCCTTCTGCACCGATCATTTTAAGGAAGGTTTAACAATAATCAAAGCTTGAAGTGACATTTTTACATGTCACTTTAACGGTTTCTAAATTACCTCCTGCATGATGAGAATGGCCAAGGGCAAGGCAATAAAACAAACGAACGTAACATAGAAATATTTGAATACCTACCTACTTTAAAAAGCAAATAAAAATATAGGATGACTAATATTGACAATAAGTTTGAGCTTATTTCGTTATGCAAAAAATTATACAGAAACATAATAACAGACCATGCACCTTGACTGATGCGGATTATGCATAGCATATCTAATTGGAAGCATAAAAACAGTATATATGACGTAGGTATATCGCTGTTTTAATTAGAATTTGCCTCAGACTGATTCAAACTCAATATAATTAGATTTTATACGTGTTATTTCATTACATATTACACAATACTCCAATGTAGATTTTGTCAATAAATATTTTCCTTACATTTGTATAATATCCGCCAAAAAAGGGTCCTCCAGATTCTATGTCAGGCAGCATTTGACTAAAGTATTCGCGGAGAAGCTTGATTGATGGTTTGAAAAGTCGAGGTCTTTCTGAATAAAGCCACAAAAATGTGCAATGCGTGCTCTTGTTTGCGGTTCCTATGTTGTGATTTTTTTCTGCCGATCTGATGAAGTCAATTAGCAGAACCACATCATGCTATCGGGTTACCGTAACTTTTTCTTGCCTATTTTGATTACCAAAAATTGTTTCGAATGTAACAGTTTGAATATCAATTTCAATATTAAACAAGCAAGCCAAAAGAAATAGCTTTCAACCAATCAAGTCATACCTACCATAACACAGTTTTGGACAGTAATAGACATATTTTTTAATTTTCTTGTCAATGCGCTAGACGTTCTAAACATTATCATGGGGTCTAGAGCAGTTTTGGAAGAAAAGGGCTGAGAATTAGCGTTTTTGTTTTTGTAACTAACGCCACTACTGCTATAACTTTTCAGGTAGTTTGTGTAAGGTAGTGCAGAAAATATAATGTTGGCGCTATGGCCATTAAAATTCACAAATTTCGAGCCACTTGAGGCAGGGTCAGACGCCGATCTAACAGGTCTGTTGAAAAATTCGTCTGGCTCTGCTTCTCCATATCCCCAACAAAAATATGCATTTAGATTCCTCTATCAGTCTGAAGCACGATTTTTGAAAGCATCCCCAATATGAATTTGTATGTTTATTTGGAAGCAGAAAGCATGCCTATGGCCCATTGTCAATTTTCGACAGTAAAAAGTTTTGTGTCTAGAAAATTTAAAAGATTTAACGACGTTCTTTCAAATATAAGACAGAACAAGTTAAGTGCTCACGTTATAAAAATTTTAGAGGGTTAGAATACACGCGTTCTTCATGATATTTTTGACCCAGCTCTTGTTGTGGCACCTCCAAAGCCACTTTTCAACTGTGTTGAAATTGATGAGGAGACGGAGTGAAACTTCAGATTTGAGGTTAGGAACTATGACAACAATTCGACGTTGCCAAAATGAGATTATAGATGTTCTAGTAGGTAAGTTCATAAAAAAATCGTGTAGATTTTTTCAAAAAAAAAAGAGTATACTACAATTACTGTTATAGCTTATCAAAGTAATCAGTAAATTATTGTACCACTGCGCATGATCATAGTATAGTAGTAGGTATAAGCCATCCTCATAGATTTATATTTGGTTGGGATGTTTTCTTGTTTACGCTCCATGTTTCTGCGAAGTAAATTGTGACAGGTAGGATGCGTTCCTTTTATGTTTTTGACTGCAGATTTCAATTGTAGTTTCTAGTGCATAAGATCTGCTTCAGCTTTCTATAGGCTGTCCATTGCAGTCGGATCCTCCAATCTATCTCCATTCCTTTGTACTAATTGTCCGAGGTATATGTATAATTCGACCTCATCTATTTCTTATCCTCCGATCTCTTTTGTGCATGTTTTGATCTGTGTTTTCATTTTTCTCTGTTCATTTCTAATCCTATCTTTTTTGCTTCTCTGTTCAAATCCTTTAGCATTTCTCCCAATTCGGTTTGACTTCTTGCAAAGATTATGATGTCATCCGCATACTTCCAGTTCTTGTATATTTAGTCCTCTGTTATTCTAATTCAGACCCTTAAATATCCCATAGGTAAGGGAGTTAGGAACACACTCCGCAGTCGATAGGTTGCACCAAGAGGTGTAACTGATGACCGTGGTTCGGAAGCGATATAAGAGCCCCACGATTAACTTTAGGTCTCGTCCTGTTTGTATGGAGGTAATACAAGGGGTCCAATTGGCCCTCCAACACATCCAAATCAGAGATATGTCGAGTAGCAAGGTGAAAAGTGTCGGAGGGATAATATACCCCAGTCTTACTCCTTTATCTACTTCGACTTTTTCAGTTGTATAGTAAACTTGAGACTGTAGTTTTGTTATAGTATTGCACTTTGTAGCGTTCTGGTGAAGCTCCAGCATTCCACAGTTTAAAACGCCTTCCTAAAGCTTGCTCTTCACTCACATAGATAAACGTTCACATTTCTTTTCTCGTCTATTAGATTCAATTCTCATGAACAGTTTATAGATCTGTGAGAGCAAACTAATCAGTTAATAATTTTCTAGGTTCGTTGGGTCTGCTCTCATGTATATCAATACAATAATGGCGTTTTCCTATAATTCTGGTATTGTTCTTTCTATCTAGCATGTAGGTATTGAAAAGTTCACAGATTCCTTTTTTTTGTTGTTCGAGAGTATTTTTATCTCCGCTAGGGGCTTTGATTTTCTTGATTTATTTCATTGCGTTCTCTATAGTGTTTCCCAATTTTTCATTGAATTTTCAGGTTTTTCGTTTTGTTTCATTATCATGTTCTCGTTGATGATCTTTCCCTTCTGAAGGTATGCGTGAAATAATTAAGTTTCTTCCAGTATTAAATTTGTCCTGTATCTATTTTTTTTCATGTTGCATTCTAATACGTTAGTCCATCTTTATTTTGTAATTGGTAATTCAACACGTTCAATATGGAAATATTTTGTATCCTTCTGGGCAATCTTCTTTGCTGTTTCAAATAATTTTGTATATTGAATGCTATTCCTTTTGCTTGTTACAATAGCTCTTCCGCTCCTAGCTAGCTGTCTCCAGAATATATCTACCGAATAATTTTTTTATCAATATTATTGAATGTTTTGTTTTGACATTAATTTGACATTTCGAGAACCCCTCAATGCATGATATTCAGGGGTTTTGTTGATTTGTAATTTACCAAATTACTGTTTTAGATATGGCTTTTATTGTTCTTAGTTGTTGTCAGGGTGATCTATCCTATAGAATAATACCAAGAATCGTAAACTCTACAGGATTGCTCAATCCCATAAGACAAACGTTCATAAAAACATCGAAGATGGCGGTATGCGAATGACGTCACGCAGTCCTTGATCGGTTTGTGTTTTTTATGACAGTGCACTATCCTTGCATTTTCAAACGTGAAAAATTGTTATTTTGAGGTTATTTCCTTTGAAAACTGTATTTTGGTATTTTGTAATTAATTTATTGATTTTAAAATTAGCAGACTTCAAAAGCTTGTGTCCTTGAGGCTTGAGTGGTTGGCTAATTGCTAATTAGAAAGACGAGTTTGTTTGCTTTTGTTTATCAATTAGCCAAACATATTGCCAAAAAGTCAAAAAAACGAAGGGCTGGAGTCAAGCTGGCCCCCGGATTCGTTTCAATGTTTTTTTTGTGTATGAAAATGAGCACAATTCGCATAAATACTGGCACAATTGAGCACAAAACGGGCACAATTGACTACAGTTGAGAAACAGTAGAAAACCAAATGTGGGGTGCCGAGCCGGTTTAATTTTTGCATTTCAATATCAAAATATAAGCGAAACGGGGTTGCAATAGTGTGCTTTATTTTTTACTGACCCTACCTAGGTACTTCTCAATTATTATTCATTAATTTAATAGGTACTAGAACGATTTAATATGGACATTCAAAGTGAGCTTATTTCACAAAGCCAAATAGTGATACCTAATTTAGATTCTCATAATCATATTTCAGAAAAACATTGCAAGTTTCCCATATTTTCCATGCGTTTTCATAGTAAACGCGCCAGTAAAGAAATTTATTTACATATTTATTTATTCACTCTTCACAAACCCTAATTTTTATTAGTAATTACATGCAAAGGAAACTTACAACTAAGTAGATATTTGATTTATAAAAAAAAAGCAAAACAAATGCTTGACTAGGAAATACTAACTAGCAATACACACAAATAAAAGAGCGATGTCCTGATACAACAAATCCAGTATTATAAAACCAGAAAATGCTTGGGGTTTTCGCGAGTATTTTCAGCCACGAGTCTTTTATGCTTACACACATTAAATGAAACTTTAAATTTACACTTATAACACTAGATAAATCCGAATTT